AGGGCATTGTTGTAAAATTTGCATTTCAACATCAGTTAAATACGCGTAATTAATGCTGGGATTAATCATTTTATTAAATGTAAATTGAGAAAAGGTTATGACAATAAATTCTTGAAATTGCATTTTTTTATATAGATACATGCATTAAAAACAAACACAACAAGCTTTCCCTCTTGAAAGCTAAATATTACCATTACACACAATGATAATTTTGCACGTTCTCATTACCCAATACAGTTTGCCAATTCTGCATAGTGATAACAATACAGTATAAATCGATCTTATTCTTTAGGAACTATCATCTATGCCTAAATATAGGAGGAACACATAATGTTGAATTATGAATTACTATGACGTGAAACTTTGTCAATTTTAATTACAAAATAACGATAATGTATAATATTCCAAAGAGAAATTTGTGTAATATCATTTTTGGGTATTGTCAAGTGCACCTTCTTGTTTAACATGTACATGTATTTACGTAAATTTTTTGATTGTCACGCACCATACCAAAGTTTGTACATGTATATGCACATACTGATCTACCGATCATAAAACACAGAACGTGCGTACCGGTACGTATCAGTTTAAAAAGTCATTTGTGACAGACAATTTACATGTATTAATTATGCAAGAAATAGCGATAGAGTTCTTAATTAGGAACTAAATCCGAAATTTAATCCGCAGCGGTTGTATGATCAATCTCGAATTACGAATTTGTTTTGATTGTGTCACACACCATATTACTTTACGTTTATCGTTATCGTTATGGTACATAACACCTAAAGTCATCAAACGTTTGTACATGTATTTTACAAAATGTAAAACTTCTTTGCCAAGAAATAAATACAAAATTCAATCAGAAAGAGGCTATTATATCATATTCACGGATTAAATTTTGTATTTACTTAGTAAAGAAGTTTATCCATTTTATAAAATACAAACGTTTGATAACTTTAATATTATGCACCATAGCAAAGATTCGCAGAACTTACCAAGTTGGATTACTGAAAGAATTAAATTCTGCACAAAGATGAATATTTTCGTGATTTAAATTTTTTGTTATTTTTTATTGGACGCATAATTGGCTGAAGCTAATTGATTGATTCAATCTTATACCGTACATTTTATTAGACCGTTGAAAAAATTTACACTTCTTCCAAATGGCGAAAACATTGTTTTTATTTCAATTGAAATTCATAATTTTCGGCATGTAAGATAAAAAACATGCCAACATAACGCTTCAAAGGCCGAACGAAATTCGAAATCGACTGAAATACATACTGTTGTCACATGAGTTTGGGTTCTTATTTTGGTTATATGATTATCAATCTCAAATAGAAAAATTTTCCAAAAAATTAATTTAATAAATAGGAAAGTCTACCTACCGTAAGCAGCTAAAAAAAAACTAATAAATAAACGAAGAACAGAAAATTTACAAGCTATAGTGCAGGACATCTAAAGTCATCAAACATTTGGGGGAGAGTCAATAGAAACCAAGCAAATTAATTTTTTTTTTTAATTAATCATAAATTCCAATTTACATAATAAAATTTTGAGATATTGGATTTCAAAGTTTTTTTTACATATTAATATATAAAACGCGGGAAATAAAATACTGATTATCGCAAAATTAAGATTTTATAATCTGTTTGGTTTCTATTGACTCACCCCATTTATATTTTATAAACTTCTCAACTAAGAAATAAATCCAAAATTTAATCCGTAAATATGATGGAGAAAGGTTATTCTACCATTTACTTCTTAGTTGAGAAGTTTATACATTTTATAATATATAAATGTTTGATGACTTTAGATGTCCTGCATTAGGGCTCCGAAAAGCTCGGCTCGTTGGCTCGCATACGACTTGCATAATAGGGTTTAACCCATATTATTAAACTACATATAAAATTTAAGCTCGAGAGGCCCGAGAGCCTGCTCGTTAGGAGCCCTATCCTGCATCATAAACTAAATTCGTATCAAATTGAAATCAGAATTAGTTAATTTAGAATAGTTGAGGGTATACTTACAAAATTAGTTTCAATTTCAACTGACACAGGTACTTTCTATTCAAAATATAAGTCACATTAACATTTTATATTAATTAGAATTCATATCGAATGTTTAGGGTCGACAAGTATCAATTAGTTGTAAATTATATTTAATATGATTTTTTATTGGCTTTGTTAATTCATTACCATTTTTTCTTTTGGATTGTAAAACATACTTTGATTTTAGTATACCACAGAGAATGAAGAGATCTCGAGATGAAACGCTTCCAACAATATCAAAAAAAGAAAATGGGTAGCTATTTTACTTTATACTTTAATTGAAATTTTTATTTAATTTAAGAGTCTAAAATATTAGAAATTCTGACAGTAGCCTTAACTGTGTTTTGAGCATAAGCAGTTTCTTCAAAAAATAACTTGTGATAAATATAAACTAAAAATGCAAAAAATTCAATGCATAAAGAATTTATTTTTGAGAACAAACAAATATGTATCTTTTCGTCTAACTTCAAATTCATCTCAAGAACCAATCTTTAGCATCAGCAATTTTATCAATCATTTATAAGCATCAAAATTATACTGATGACTATATGAAAACTGTCTATAATAATCATCAATAATATACAATTTGTTATATATGATAAATTTTCTTGCATTATTTAATTTAGTTACATAAACTAAAACAAAGACAATATAAAAGCTAAATAATTATTCTAGTAAGTTTAAATGGGGTGGTGAATATCCGAGAATTATTATGCAAAGATTCTTAAATGAAATTGTAAGAATTTGTAAAATCTTCAATGGTGAAGATGATAAGAGAATCTTCTATTTTTTAAATAACTTAATGCAATTGTCGATGATATTGCTTCAATATACATTAGAAATTGAACCTGTCCAAAAAATGCAACCTGGGTCACCCGACGGTTTAACCCACAGATCACCCAGGTGATCAATGTGTGCATCCGGGTACAAAGATTACCCGTTAAACCCTGGGTCAGCATCATAAAATATAATTATTAATCTGGTATATCGTAATAATATGATCAGGCTTTTGGATTCCAATAGACACGATGTAGGTGACTTTTTCAGATTACGTAATCATCTGATCTGATCACCTGATTAATGAACTCACTGATCCATTCCCGGAAATTAATATATATGTGAAAATTCTTTCTTATTTTAGCATAATGCAATTATGAAATTGCCATAATAATAAAGTAACAATGTGGAGTAAACAAAATAATGTGGAGTAAATAAAGTAAACAATGTGTAGTAAAGTAATAATAAAAAATATTATTTGTGGATGTAATAATAAATTTTTGGAAAACTTAGTTTTGATTGTCAGTATCTTAAGTCCTGTCACGATGTCATGTGTTGTGTGTGTTGTGTGTGTATGTTTCAAAGAGTTTTTTAATAGGAATATTCAAAATCCAATAGCTCAGGAGATTTCAGGTAATATAGTTTGCATTCAGTTGTCCGTTTCATAAAGTTTTTACAAAACTGTATTCTAATAATATATTTTCTGGCATCAAGTCCTAATTATATGATGCAATAATGCATCATATTGTCAAAATATTAATTCATAAATGTCAGCATCATTAATTTACATCAGTAGTAAAAGCTCACATCACTGTTGCAATTGACCGACCCAATAAACCTTTCAAAACTGTCCACTAATCGAATTTTCATTGGATGCAAGCGATTTTTGTCACGTGCCGTGCACTTGAGGAGAGAACTTCAAATATAATGGGACCGGAAAATTCATTGCACGTGTAGAATATAGAGTGTGTGCATTAAGCACTACAGTCCTAACTCGGGACCGGACAAAAGGGTGCATTTAAGGAGGGTGTGCACTTATAGAGGGTGAATTTATGGAGGTCTTACTGTATACTGAAATAAACATAGGCAATATCAAGAATATAAAAAAATGTCTCAGTTATTTATAGATAGTTTATATTGTATGCGTTGCTCCTTTAACCACCCAGAATACATATCATCAAATTTTTGGGGTGGAGAAGTACTTTGCTCCCATCAGGAGTTTGAAATGATTTCATATATTAAAAGAAAGAAAAATATTAACAGTATAACTACTATTTATTAATGAATTAGATATAATAAATATTATAAAAACTCTCGTATTATATATATGAACTTTCTAACAGTTTTTCAAGAATACTAAGTTATGATGCATAAAAGTTATACTAAATTAATTGAAGCTTTCATCAAAGGCTCAATTGTGGTACGTCCAACTTCTTTCGGCTCTTTCTGACCATCCAGATCAAACGCAAGAATAACGAGAGCTTTACCGGCAAGATTTTCACAAAATGTTTCGGCTTCAAGAACCTTACCCGTAGTTAGAAGAGGAGTTATGGTCAGTTCGACGTGAAACTCTTTAGCATCATCTTCAATTAAAAAACTATAGTCTTTGTCTTGTTTAAATCCTTTTAAAAACGACACTAAAATTGCGCATTGATCGCCGACTTCAGCATCAGTAAATGTAACAGTTCCTACAAATTCTCCAATGAATTTTGCGATATATTCACTTACATCGCGACGTTGAAGGTGAGGGGAAATAGTTGGAAGTGTAGTTACAAGAGCAAAAAATAAATAAAGAACCAAAAATGCAAATAATGTCTTTTTAATAACGATGACCATGATGTAATAAGTGATTATGTGTTGTTTCTTTAGATTTGCAATTAATTTTGAGAAAATCCAATTTTTTTATGAGTATCGAGGTGAAAATCCCGTCCTTTTATTATCGAGACAAACTGCGACTTTTACGTTGATAAAAATATACATGTACATTATACAAAGTACATGTGCACATGTAATACAGTTCCATGTAACCGTAAAGAGCGGAAATCTACACTGTAATACAGTGAACTCTCCCTAAATGCAACTCGTCGGAAGACATATGAAAATTGAACAGAAATGTGTATTTAGGGAAAAATTGCATTTATGGAGGGCATTTTACTTAATTGTCTTATTAACTTGGGACCAAACAATGATTGCATTTAGAGAAAAAAAATAGTAATTGCATTTAAGGAGGTTGCATTTAGAGAGAGTTCACTGTAATGATAAGATGTGCATTGCAGAACTCTATGGTACAGTGGAACATTTAACAAATCGCTCCACTTGTCCTAGATTATTACATCTAGGGAAATTTCACCTCCAGATAGATGAAGATGTGATTTTTTTTTACCTCCAGATAAACGGAGGTAGTGTTTCGGATGAAACTAATTTGATCTACAAAGAGTCTCCAAAATTAAAATTCGTGAAACTGAAAGTTCACTGGCAAAACGTTTTGGATTTGAAAAATAGTTTCGCCTGAAACATTATGCATCAGGAAGTATTTGAATGTGTAGAACACATTAAATGCGTCTTTCTATACTGCAAACATAGAACAATACATGTACATGTACTTATATCAATTGTATTGTTCTACACTTTGAAAACTTCCTGATGTAGAAATTGATTATCTAATAAAAACGGTACGCACATGCATTAAGTACCACATAAAGTAGAAAATTTAAACCTATATTCAACTTCAATTTAATGCCAAAAAATTGCACTGAATTTTGAATTATTCATTTTGCAGGAGAATAATTGGTTTTACTAAAAATATTGGACTAAATTTAAATTTTATATTTTCTACAGTGGAGAGTACTGAATACGGCGCTGTATGAACCTTGGCAAGATTTGGTGGGTATTAAAGTACATAGATCTTTGCTTTAATGTAAGTTCAGTCTAATTTTTACTAATTATATAGTTAATTTCTATGTTAATAAACATAGTAAGTAAACGACAGTAATTCAGCAAACGTACATGACAGGGCTCCTATTCGGTTCGATTCAAGTTCGGTCGAACTCTAAACCGAATTCAAACAGAGATTTTGTCAATTTTTCGAATCTGAACTAATAATACTTGACGATGACGAAACCTTTCGTCACGACCATTTTGAAAATCTCTGACGAATGATGAAATCTTCTGACCAATAAAATAATAGCTCGTAACTCGCGATGCCTGACGATGATGACTATTTTTGGAAATTAACGCGCAAAAGGCATATTTAATATGTACAGTCAAAACTGGATATAATGAAGGTGGCCGGATAATTAGTAAAATTTTTGGGATCTTCGTTATACATATATAAAGATATACTGTTACCGTAGTAACAATAAATCCCTTAATTCCGCAATAATGCTCAACTAATTTCTACATGAAAATCTTACCGT